CACAATCCACCTTAAATTAGTCACAGACGGTCAATAGAAATGGCTTGCCATTTGATGCTAGTGCAAAAACATATGAAGGATATTTGTTCGAGTATACCTTCATAATGCATGCACAGTTTTTTCATGTTGCCCTAGCCCTTTAGACGTTTTAAGCAATTTATAATCTATATTTTTTTCTTAACTTTTGCAGCCTGATAAAGTGCCAGTGCAGCCAATTCCAGTTTCTATGTGAGTTTTTAGATTCATATTTTCTCTGACAAGATTAGTTGTCGTATTTTTTAAAATATTGGCTTGGTTCTGCGTGGGACATTATATTGTTATATTTCCTGTGTATTAATCTTTCTACTGGGTCGCCAACAAATTCATTCCCATGAAATCAACAAATTTATATTGTTGAATTACTTTGAGCCTGCTAAAATACTTTGTACCAAATGTAGGGAGGATTTACCTGGGACAGATTGGGCTCTTGTGTCCACAAATGACGGCAAAAAGTATTACTACAACAATAAAACAAAGGTCAGCAGCTGGCAAATTCCTGCAGAAGTGAAAGATTTGGGGAAGAAACCGGAGGAGAGGGCTATGGAGAGTGTAGCATCTGTGCCAAGTGCTGATTTCACTGAAAAAGGTTCTGATCTATCAAGTTTGAGCGCACCTGCTATCAGCAATGGTGGCCGGGATGCTGCATCTCTAAAAACTACAAATTTTGGCTCGTCGGCACTGGATTTGGTTAAAAAGAAACTACATGATTCTGGAGTGCCCGTCTCATCTACGACAACATCTGAAGCAAATGGTGGTAAAGCAAGTGAGGTCACACCAAGTGGAGAAAGTGGAAATGGTACGGGTAAGATAAAAGATGCTCCTGGAGCTGGGGAACTTTCTGATTCTTCTTCAGATTCCGAAGATGAAGATAGTGGACCATCGAAGGAAGAGTGCTTTAAACAGTTTAAGGTATTGTGTAGCCTGGACCTATGAATAGTCCTTGTGGTCTTCGTTTTTGTCTTCTTTGACATAGGGATTGGTTTAGATTTCTTTTCTCATGTTTGTCTTTCTGCAAGTTAAAATTTAGCCATATAGACGCATCTGATTTAAAGCATTCTAGAGAAAAAGAGAAGATCATGCATTGAAATTTTCCTCTGTTGATGGTTCTTGTTGGAATATTGGAATGCCGTGGTGCTTTGTATGATACATGCCAACTTCTAGTGGAAATTTCCGAGTTTGGAAACCTTGAAATTATTCAGATTGAAGTTCGTTTTCTAATATCTTGTTTCGTATTACTTTACCCTTGCAGGAAATGCTGAAAGAGAGAGGAATAGCACCGTTTTCTAAATGGGAGAAGGAATTGCCAAAAATTATCTTTGACCCTCGCTTTAAGGTCTGTCAAGCCTAAAGATCATAACAATATTTTGATATCTTATCCTGTTTTTAAATTCCTTGTCTATTGTTTCTTTCCTTGCATGCGTTTGCAACTTGTACATTTCCAGTTAATTTTATTTGTGTTGCCCGCATTGTAACATCCATTCGTATTTGGTGCTCAAATAGAGCATAAACAAAACTTTTCTATAGATTTTCTAGCTCGGTGTAGAACAAAGATTACGTACATAAGGACATACCTGTATAATATTATACTCTATGTTCTTCTCTTTTTAGTCATCTTTTTACTGCTTTCTTTTTATTTGAGGAGTTCGTTTTTCTTGCAGGCAATACCAAGTCATTCTGTTAGAAGATCTTTATTTGAGCAGTACGTAAAGACACGCGCTGAGGAAGAACGTAGGGAAAAGCGTGCTGCTCATAAGGCAGCTATTGAAGGTTTCAGGCAGTTGCTGGATGAAGCGTCTACGGTAATCTTTTTAATAAACTGAATGTATTTTTACATTGAGCTACCTAACGTCTTTAAACATTTCTATAATTTGGTTTGGGATGTTCTCAACTTCTATATCTCTTGGGGGAATTTATTATCATCGTGATTTTTGCAGGACATCCATCAACACACTGATTATCGTGCTTTTAAAAAGAAATGGGGGAATGATCTCCGGTTCGAAGCACTTGAGCGGAAGGAGCGGGAGGCTTTGCTGAATGAAAGGTACCATTCTAGATCTTGGATCATATTCTATGTATGTTAAAAAGTTTGCTTATAGCCTTAAAGTTTACACTGGATGTGTTTTTCCTTGTTACTTTGTGATGTTTTGGTTGTAGACCTCACTGTCATTTCTTAAGACTGAATGTTTTTTTAAAACATTTTTACTTTCTTAGTGTAATTGCGTGTAACTGCCGTGTAAAAGTTTTTCCCTGTACAAGATTGATATGCGCTTTAGGATATTTTTTCTTCATGTGGGTTTTGAGTGTCTTATAGTTATTCACTATTTTGGCTCTTATATTTTCCCTGTTTCTGTTGCAGGGTCCTTTCTTTGAAACGAACTGCTGAACAAAAGGCGCAAGAAATTCGCGCAGCTGCTGCCTCTGATTTCAAGACAATGCTACACGAAAGAGAAGTATCATTGAATTCACATTGGTCCAAGGTAGGTAGCATATTTGTTTCTATCCTTTGCGAACAAGAGAGATAGAGTAGGTAAAAGTTATAAAGTTTTCAGGTACTTATGCTGTTAATATCACTTATCAAAGTTACAAGTATTAATTTTATGTGTCTTATCTCTTATCAAATACATCCTTTGATTGCACAATTTAAAACTTGGGAAGAATATTACTACGACCTATATAATATTTTTCTCCCCTGTTTTATTAGGTGAAGGATAGTCTGAGAAATGAACCACGATATAGATCTGTTGCACACGAGGACAGGGAGTTTTTTTATTATGAGTACATTGCAGAACTAAAAGCTGCACAAAGGGGAGATGATCATGAGATGAAAGCCAGAGACGAAGCGGTAAATTAACTTAATATATTCACAATTCCACAATGTTCAAGCAGCCCTCTTCTGCTTGCTTTTTAAAGTGAGGATATTCACGTATTCCCTGTTTGCTGGCATGTTAATACTTGCTTGTTTGTTCTAGTTTGAGACACATTTTGGAAAAAATTATTATCATCAGATTCTCTGCATGTATGCTAGTAGTGCAGGAAGAAACAAGTTGCTAATTAGCGAATGTTTTAGTTTGGGATTATTTATTTGCAGATACAAAAAATTTGGATCTCATTTGTTTCTGTTTTAATGATTTTCTGGCCATAAATGCTTGAAACTATATAGACTCATATGTGTATACATCTTTCTGATTCCTGAATTTGGGTTCAGGACAAACTGAGGGAACGGGAGCGTGAGTTGCGGAAACGCAAAGAAAGAGAAGTGCAAGAGGTGGAAAGAGTACGACAAAAAATTAGAAGGAAAGAGGCAAGCTCCTCTTATCAAGCTTTGTTAGTGGAAAAAATCAGAGACCCTGAGGTATTTCTACTTCTTTTATGTAGCTAGCTAAAGACTTTCATTTGGGCTAAAGACGCAGGAGTTAGTTTGTAGTTTTTTTACTCTGTGGGGATTCTGATTGTCAATCTTTCTTTGCTACCTTCTTCAATATCTGAAGGCATCCTGGACGGAATCTAAGCCAAAACTTGAGAGGGATCCTCAAAAACGGGCCTCTAATCCAGACTTGGATCCTGCTGATAAAGAGAAGCTATTCCGAGACCACATAAAGACATTATATGAGGTACGTGTACTGCTCATCTGTAAACCTTACCAAATCAAACTCTCAGCATTTTCTGCAACAAGATCAGAACAAAACTTAGTTTTGAGGACCTTTTTCGGCTTATCTCCTCTTTGGTCGATTTGAGGAAGGAAATATACTTTGTTACCTATTTCATCTAATTATTTTTCTTATTGTGCTTCACAGCGATGTGTTCATGACTTCAAAGCTCTTCTAGTTGAAGCCTTGTCATCTGAAGCTGCTTCTCAACAAACAGAAGACGGAAAGACTGTGCTTGATTCTTGGTCAGCAGCTAAACAAGTACTGAAACCCGATATCAGGTACAGCAAGATGCCAAGGAGAGATAGGGAAGTCTTATGGCGCCGATATGCTGAGGATATCTGGAGGAAACAGAAACAAGAAAACTATCAGGAGGAGAAACAAAGAGATTATAAGACATAAAAATCCTGAACCGATAGGCTCTACGCCATCCATGGCTTCATATGTTGTGAAAAAAGATCATCATGTCTTGTTGGTTTTTGTACTGTTTGATTTTTGTTCTGGCTAACTAAAAACCAATATAGTTTGTTTGATGTTTCTACGTTAATTTTTCTGAACAGTATTGCTTTAGTCAAAATATGTGATTTGGTAATATCTTAAGGTTTTTGTTTTTTGCTTTGTCCCAAAAATTTAAGGTTTGGAGATGGATGAAGATTTAAAACGTTGTTGAGAGACATGTCAAGATTTGCCGGGGTCACCGGATAAAAAATAAAGATTTACTTGACCGTTCTCTGAAAATTATTGGAAATATCAATCAAACATTTATACGTAGTTCGATCTATTTGGTAAAACTTTTATTTTCGTGCGAACAAAGATATAAGATTCTATGTAGTACATTTTGGTGAATTGTGCAAAGTGGGGAATGTTAGGATATGACAATTTTCAGTCTACGTTTGTGGTTTAATCTTAATATCCATGAATAAATCTCATTTTCAAGAATATCAAATCTGAAGGGGCATGTGACGTATATAGCCAAGAAAATATTTTCTCCCGTGATTTGGTTTTGAATTGTTTTGTATACAATGCTCAATGCATTCAAAGGCCAACTTGTTGATTTAATAGATTCTTTCGATTAGCATTTTTATTTTTTCTTTTCTACAGAACCAGAAAATCCAAATTTGAAGTGTTTCCTATAATATTCGAAATCTGTACTTGTTATGTGAAGAACTTGCAGTGACTAAGGAAATATGCGTATAACAAAAACTGGTCTTTTTCTTCTACATCCACTGAGCGAATGCCTCGAATCAAAGAGCAACTATAGAAACATAACCTTGTTAAAACAATTTGGACGTGTATAACCCGTGATTATTCAAATTACAAAATATCCATTTTATTTGCATCCACAAGGTCGGACATCCTTATATGCATTCTCGAAACTACGTGAAATATATTTTGCATGAATAAGCTTATAATATACACGAGACGTGCATGTGTGTGATGATGATATGATGATATTCCAATCTATATCTAGAGAAATAAGAAAAAAAATGACGAGTGAATTAATTAACAAAGCCTTGGAAAACTAGAACTTGACACTACTTCACTCTTCTTTTCCTTACAATTTTTTCCAGAACTATTCCATTGCTTCCTCTCCAAATTCATCTTTAGGTCATCTTCAAACTTCTCCGACATCCCAAAACCTTTCAAATGCACCAGTATTGGTTTCTCTTCTAAGTACTTACGCGAATTCCAGATCTTGTTTACTCTCTTCTTGTCCTCTCTTGAGTGTGGTTGAGTCTCGTTTGACAATTGTTGTGACTTGAGTGCTTGAACTGCAATATTAGGAGGGATCTTGGGATTTTGCGCAAGTTGTTTGCATGTTTCCAATGTCAATTTCTTGTAGTTTAGACATCGACATAGTTTTGTTCTATCCTCGGATGATAGTTTCGGATGAGACTACAAAATCATAAATAGTTAATATTAGTTAATGCCTACAAAATATATTGACTACAAAACCATTATATATTGATTTTTCTTTTCTTTGAAAGGTCACATTAGCTTATATTGAACATATCTAGTTTTCACGTGAAACTAATCTTGTTCTTATTATTAAGAGACTTCTTAATAATAATTAATTAGTTAAACAAAAGACAGAGTAGTTAGAACTTAGAATCTGATGACATGAATATCCAGTAACCAGGGCAATATATAACACAGTAATTAGTACGCTATTGTATAGTTTTTAATTTTCTATAAACACATAATTAAAACGTTAACTAATGTTTTAGTAAACATAATTATTCGAAAATTGCAAACGCAAACGTACAAACCAATCAAAACGTTTGTGTCGTTAAAACAATATTCAAGTGAATGTTTGATAAAACGTTAAAAGTACTGTTTTGCTTTTAAAATGCAGACAAAATATCTTTAACTAGTAGAACACAGAAATCCAAGGGTAAATGATTTGCGTTTGAAAGTTTCTATATAATTCCACTTTTAAGAAAATTATTAACGACTTTGCCACCAAAGTCACCACTAGTACTTCCACGTGTATGAAAAGTATGCACATATATTTGCAATCTCAGATTTTCGAATCTTTAGATATCACAAAATAAAAGAAAGACAAAAAGATAAGTTAAACTCTTTCATCAATTCTCTTGAGAAAGCCAAACTATATTATAGAAACTTGTATACTTGTTGTCATCTTCTATTTCACTTTACTTAGCTTGGTTGTTTTTGTCTCATTTTGCTCAATATCTTTTTTTCCATATATCTCATGAACGTGCAATTATTTCGAAAAACTTCTGTTAATAAAAAAAAAAAACAAGAAAAATCAGAAATGTAATGAGTGAAAAAACTGACCTCAAGATAGATATCAATGGCTCTGTATAATCCATCAAACCAATCTCTAGCTGAATCTGGCAAACTCTCTGCAACTTCAAGAAACTTTGACTCTTTAAGATTCTGGTCTGGAGATATCTCTCTCAGATACTTATCAATCAACTTCCCAATTCTTCTCATTTTCAAATTCTGTTCTTCTTCTGTGTTTCCAGTTCTCACGAACACTTTGAGTAATCTTATCACCAAATCCACATCGTAAAACCCTTTTTCTTTTTTTCCTCCTGCTGGAATCAGAAGATCATCAAGTGTTGCTTGATCCAGCATTTCTCCTATAACTCTCTCTAAACCAATTCTTGATTCTTTACTGATGCTAAATCCCGATAAAACGCGAAGAACCCAGAACATTTTTCTGCAGGAAAAAGCGGTTTTCGCCGCGAAAACCACTCCTCGAACCGCTGTATCAGCTAAACCTGCATACTCGAGCTTGTTGTTTGATTTGTTTTGGACCTTTGTCTTGAGGTAATGGAGGAGAAATCTTGTGAGGACCAAGCTGTCATTGTTCTTATCATGCGCACCAAGTGTTTTCATCACCTTTTCGATGATTTTTGGCCCGAGAATTGACATATCATCGAACCACCACTCGTTACTTGTCCTGCAAGAAAGCGACCTTGAAGTAGACCGTTTGTCAGAATCAGACCTATTCCTTGCCGTCTCCGGCGAATGAGAGGAGGCAGAGGCAGAGGAAGACGGAGAGGATGATGAAAAGACATGACTCATGTCTGAATTCTGAGCGATTTTGGCTAAAACCCCGAAAACAAGCTTATCAACAAGACCGTAAGAATCTGCGTGTAGGAACACTTGTTCGCAGCTCTTGAGACACAAAACGATGTCATTCCATGACCAGTAGAACATACCTTCTAAAAACTTGTCTGTTTGAAGCAAAAGATTCGAGGAACAGAGTTTCTCTGTCATCTCAAGGAAGACAGAAGAACAATGCAAAATGGAGACATTTGAGACATCGATCGAGATTCCTCCGCCATTACCGTAACAGAATCTTGAAACCAAGTCGAACCCATCTGACCCACCTGGAAAATCTTCGACTTCGATAATGATTCTACTGTTCTTGTGATTCTTCTTCTTCTTATTGCTCTGTTTTATCATCTTCCTCAAGAACCCTGAGTACTCTGAAATCAAATCCTAACCCAAGAAACAGAGTTTAGTTCAGATAATGGAAACAGAGGAAATTAGGTTTGAATTAGAGTGGAGATTTGGTTTGGTTTATTACCTGATTGACGAAGAAAGTGAATTGGTTATTGAGATTGATTTGAAGATCACAGAGAAGAGACATTGTATCAACTTCTTTTGCATTTGATGAAGATGAAAACTTCTTGTGAGCTTTCTTGTTCTGCTTCCTTTTGGATTGGAGAGAGAGAGAGAGAGAGAGTGAGAGAGCAATAATAGTTATCACATGGAACCGGCTATTTATATATCTTTTTTTCGGCGTCTTTATTTCAATATCTCTAATACACATTTTCTTCCTTTATAACTCTCATATAAATTTTATGCAAAAAAAATTTATACACAAACATAGAAGTATATTGGTCCCGTGGACCAACATCTAACCCTAATAGAAGTAGAACGTCTAAAAACGTGAAACTGTAATAATTTAGTGCCGTTCCACTTTGTAAGAAATTTCTTTCTATTTTTTAATTGGTTTAGTACATTCATTATTGTTCAGTTTTTTTTTTTTTTTTTTTTTTTTTTTTTGAAATGATAAGATTCATTCTTATTCGAAATGTATTTATTATATGCTATTAAGTTCGGAGTTCAAACTAGCAATTAGCTTGACATCGTAGTTTACTACTTTTCATTATAAAATAAAACCTATTTTTCTAGTGTAAGTAGAATAAAAAATTAAGAAAAGTTATATAAACTGCATGGCCGCATATTTACTTTGAAATCCATATAATTTTGTGTGCAGAGCACAACAATATGACGAGGTGTTGTCAGAGTCTAGAGATCCATAAATGTTTGTTAGAGTTAAGCACTTAAGCTAATTAATTAGGGATTAAATAGAAAGTGTGAGTGTGATTTTTTTTTTTACATCTTTGGATCGACAAGGCCCGATTCATAGTCAATCCCTACTACACGGGGTAACGCGATTTAGTGGAGTCGAACTCCGGTGGGAAGGCGGAGTCAAGTGGACTTAACCACTTGACTAAAAGCACATCCCCTGTGTGAGTGTGATTTAAATATTAATATATGTGAAAAGTATATATTTTTCTGTACTAATCTATTAACAAAAACATATGTTTACCCTATAACAACAAATGCAGACTATAAATTTGGAAGCTTCATATAGACAAATATTGTTTGGAATCCAAAATTGTCACTGTTTCGGTCCACCTGCACCTATAATTAAACAATCATAGATATGAATTCAGTTTGAAACGTTTAATTTGACATTAATTAGTCAATTTAAAATAATGGAAACCAGGTGCTTGCGGTTGCGAAACACTTGCAATGACCAGGTGCAAGATTGATTCCTTTATGCTTCATTGATCAGGATGATAAAAAAAAAACAAAAAAAAAAATTGGTGTCAGAAAAAGAACTATAGGTGGATAAAGAGCAGGAAAATATTTTACAATTTGTTGAAAATAATTCGTAATTATGATAGCATATATTATTCATGTTATTTGGGGTTGATTATAAATATTTTACATCACAACAAATAAGACTTACATTTTAAGATTTGTTTATCTTGTTATAAATTAAATTAATCTACTTCTATTTGAATTTCCAAAGTGAAGTGAACTATATATAGGTTACGACTGATATGAAATATATATTTCCAGTAGCACAGAAAATGATGCTTCACGAACTATCACTTATGAGTTATGACTTGTCCATAGCTAAAGGACTATGCTACTCAAGTTGTATTATATATTTATATATATTCTGTATTTATATGTTGTTTTATACACACGTATAGTATATATGAATATGAGTGTGTCCCCTTTGTTTTTATGTGAATTTATAAATATTCCCCCTTTCTTGGCATTACATTATAAATTTGTAATACCATTATTTCACTTTCATGTAATTTCAAGAGTTTTCTTCTCTTTTTATTTGTTATATTATATATCAGTTGCTTGCAAAGTTGGGAGGTTCACTTTCATTGCATGTGATGGGCCGGGTATGATGACTCTTACGTTTGTGAATAAAGTCGACTACTTGCTTTTTCATCATTATCCAAATCCAGCCATGTAAAATATTTGTAATTGAAACCAAATAATAATTAACTAGTACTCTTGTTAAGTATCACGAAGGTGGTGCAAATTCAATACGACTTGTTGAATGAGTAAGATAAATAAAAACCAAATAATAATTAACTAGTACTCTTGTTCAAAAAAAAAATGACAAAGAAAAGAAAACAGAGAATGATGCAAGAAACAAAACAAAAGTAGGGCCTAACTAATATGCTTGTTCTTTCCTTTTGCCGGATTGGTTGAGTTGCACTAAACTTGGAACATAATAAGGGGACACATGTGGGTAACCATAGGGAGATTCCTCGAGATTCACAAATGCTTCACCAAGATTCACTCTTTTCAAGTATCCATTCTCTCCAATGATGTAAGCCGTTTTGTAGCTTTGAGATTCATCTAGATCAAAAACCACGGCGACTTTCTTCTCTTCGTCGATGAAGAAACTCCCAGATTCAACCTCAAACTGAAAACCCAAACCAGTGTGTGGTTTCATATCAACTTTAAACAAGTTTCTCCACGACACCACATTAGGCTCAATCATACTTGTAACCCATATCTCCAACTCATATGTACTCATGTTCTGATATAACGCCGCGAGTTTCTCTCCTTTAACATAAGATAGAGTCCCAGTATCTTCAATATAATGCTCAAACGGTAGAGGAAGATACTGTCCAAAGCTCTCCGTCGTAAAATCAAAACAAAGTAAATAATCTGGCGGCTCTGGCATCTCTCCATATTCTCCGAACACTATTTTCTCTTTAGCAAAAAAGTAAGTGTTTCCCTTCAAAGACACGCCACGTTGATAAAACTCTATATCCCAACCGGGAGTGATATCAAGAACCCTCCATGAATTAGACTTTAACTCATAGATTTCGTACCCAAAAACGTGGGTCCCGTCTATTCCATGATGATCCACAAACCTCAATATTTTCTGGTTACGGTTGTTGTCGTATCCGATAGCATACCTATCTAACCTGTGGTAAGCGCTTCGGGGTTGGATCCACCTGGTTTGACACATATACGGGTTCCAGACCACGAGGCTAGTGTTGTCCCTTGTGACGCATAACAATAACCCATCGCAATGAAAAACTTTAGATATATCAACTTGATTAATTAAATTACCTATCTCCTTTATTGATGCATCCACAAAGTCTTCACCGTCTTCGTTGAGGATTCCTTGGATATTGAATCTTATTGAACAAAGCTTATAATCCATCATCATGAACCCTAGAAACGGCTGCATGGCTTCTGCTTTACACAAAACCGCATCTTTGGATAAAGCGTTCCATCGTTTGCAAGTGGATCTCACTGCTCTGAGAGAAGTTATCGGAACCCTAGAGAGTATCTTCCCTACCAAAACTTGTGAAAGATCGGACATCATCGTCATTGTTTCAAGATCCAATGATTTAAAAGAAATTAGGGTCTTGTTTTCCAAACAATCACGCTTGCCCTGTTGCCCACTCTTCACTATATATTATATAGAGATAAATAAGTTAAGTTAGGTTACGATTATTATGCATCAGGATCACGAATCGCGAGTATACCGCTTCATATGTGGTTTCTAACTATTATTCAGAAACTTGACAAAGATAAATTTGTGGTTTCTGATTGAGTCAATTGGGATTAGATAAATATGGAATTTAAAGTTTAGTTTGAGATTTTTTTAATTTATTTTCTAACGTCTAAGAAGCTTAGATTTTTAGTTTTTGTTTGTGGAAGTCATATGACAACATGTGTAGCTGGAAGTAATTTTGATTTAACTTAAACAAATTAAATATGGTGGCTTCTAATTCGCTATATTTAAGTGATTTGGTGACATCTTTTAAAATTCACAAATCAATATGTGCGGTAAATATAAAATAAATACAAAATTCACAATAAATATATGCTCATATGCACATAAGATTAAGAGTAAATTTGAAAAAATATCCTTTTTATGAGTTTTTCATTTAAAAAATACCCTATCTTTTTTTGTTCTCTTAAGAACTAATTTTTAATAGCTAAAATAGCTTCATTAAAATTTAGTAATAATTAAAAATGATTTAAACTTAAAACAGAAAAAATCGATTAATTTAAAGATAATGTAACATGTGCGTTAATGTAAATATGTGTTATTAATATTAAAAGATTAATATAAAGCTTAAATTAAGAACTTTCTGTAGAATTGTGTACGTCCATGTAAATATATGTTAGACACATATATTACAACATTCGTCCACCATGCATAATTTTAGTACAATGTTCTTTTCATAATTGAAATCACATATATATATATATATATATATATACAACGGCATATACTCATCGAAACGCCAATTTAGGCGATGGTCATCAAATTCTTTCGAGTCATTTTGCATCATCAGGTTTTTGGCCACCAGCTACGCTACTGGAAGAACTGTGGTCTCGTACGCTCGGAGAAGATGAACATTTGCTAGAATGAGAGCTTTCTTCTACGGAGTTGTTGTTGTTGTTGTTGTTGTTTCTCTTACATCTCTTTGTCTTCTCTGGCCTTTGCAATGTATCCTGCAAAATACATTTTCGTGAATAACTGTAAAGGTAATAAATCCGAAAGAAAAGGAGATCTCTAGCTTCTTATTTTAAGTCTCTCTACCTTATCAGAAGTCGATCCAGGGGTTTTTAACTCGAGTTGTGTTGCAACTTCGTTGGAGTCCTCTGCTTTTTCAGATCTGCTCTCTCTTGAAACCTTTGCTCTAGGTTCCCGAGAACGGTTACCCGGGTTCTGTGGAATGTGCACGGATTGTTGTTCAACGACTGTATTAGGAGGCATGAACGGCATGTATGTAGGACATGGAGCTGGGATCATGCTAGGGTTCTGGGTCCCAAAGTATGTATAAGATGGCATTGATGGATGCATTGGGATTGACCCGGGAGGCATAGCCATAGGCATTGGGTATGGAAAGGAGGGTGGTGGAGCCATCATGACTGTGTGATCCATCGCAGCTCCCCATGGAGACATTGACCTTAATCTCTGCTGGTATTGGAGATTGAGATTCTCTATCTCTGATTTCAGCGATGTCTTTTCTTCTCTCAGGTCGTTTTTCTCCTGTGTCAACTACAGAAAGAACCGTTGTTATACAAGTACCAGTAAATTTTTAGGTGTTGCTATTGATGATATAAACAGGTCCTATAAGCAGTTACATAGCCCGTCTGAGTTTGCATCTAATGAAATAAGTGTAGTCTCCATATCATAAAAGAAAGAACACAATGACTTATCTATAACGGGATCCCTATCGATATCTATACGTCATGTAGACTGCTAACTTTTACCGTAATGAAAAGCCTGGAGAGTAAGGGATAAGATATGAACCTCGCGGGACTCATCTGTCAATGCGGTGTACTCAGATTTCAGTTTGTTGACTTCAGATGTGAGCTCTTTCAACAACTGAACAGTATCAGTCAGAATCGTGGCTTTGTCATTCTTGGGTCTCTCTGGATCTGCAAACAGAAGAGCTACGTGAGGATCAAGGTGAATCATCTGTTGTTACTAAATCCACATAACCATTGAGCTTTTACCGAGTACATTTCCCAATTCAACAAAATGCTCATTAAGTTTTTCCCTCCTCAACTTTTCGCGCCCTGCTTTTTGCGACTTTCTAGCAGAAACGTCCATGACTTCCCCTTCTGCAATAAACTAAGAAGGTCACATTGCAGTCCCAGTCTTAGACATTATTTTAGAATCCAATTCCACCATAACAGCATATCGAAAGCACATCGACCACACACTGTTGGCTCACAACAAAGCCTTGGTTTACTTAACTAAATTATCTTTGAGTCGACAGTCAGGTATCCTATGATCTCAGCTCGCATACCAGACGCAGTTACATACTTAGCATCTCTTTGACCATAAGAGTCCTAACTCAGCCCTTGGAGTTTAAATGATTTTGAATTCCTCCAGCATATCTACTTGTTGTAAACTAAGTATCATGAAATCTACAGATTTTACAGATGCACATCTCAAACATTTACGAAATAGCCAGAAATTCCACATTCTTTTGTAAACATAATCTGGCAATAATAACATCTATCTATTAAGAAATTGAAACATTTACGAAAATGATACTAAAACGTTGTTGAAGAAGAACACAAGGAAGGAATCTTCAATGGTCATCAGAGATTGATTTCCCCGACGAACTAACAACACTTTCACAAACTAGACTAGAGCTTAGTTCAAACCAATTAAAACCCTCAAAATCAAAATAAATTCCTTTTGATTAAAGAAGCACCAGATTGTGATCGAAACCCTAAATAGAACGATGAATTCAGGACGATCAATTGAAGAAAACAAAAAGGCAGATATTGTAGAAACTCACCGGCGGGACGAATCGACGGCGACGGCGACGGAGAGATTCGATGAGCTAAGAGAAGAGAAGACAAGGTGGTTCGGCGAAGAAAGATTCTCGTTCTCTAGCCTCCTCCTCGCTCTCTCTGCTCACAAGCATTATTCCATTTTCTCTTATCCCCACTTTTACAATTATTTTAATTATAAATAAAATTATTCTTTCTGTAACAAATTCTTAGGAAAAAAAAAATGTGTATATTAACTGAAATAAATTTATTATTTGGCAAAACAATCTGTAATTTTAAATTTATGAATTATAGTAAATTTATAAATTTTAAATTCCTCTATAATTAACTCATTTTTTTTTGGTAGGCCTCTATAATTAACTCATTAAACACACCCTATATAGGCTATAAGAAAAAAATTTTAAAAAAAAAAACACTCACAAAATTTAAAATTTAGGGACTTGTTTGGCACTCCATGACTATCCCGACCTAATTAGTGTTATATGAGATTATGAGTTCTTCTTCACATTTTCTCTGCAAGCCATGACGTTGAGAAGCTCTAGTGCATTCTCTCTTATGCAATGAGCAAGTCTCAGTAAGAGCATATATAAAGGTGCATCTTTAAAGAAGGAAGAAAAAATATTAAAATATTATAAGAGCTTTAATTAAGATCTTTTGTAAAGTAATTGATTATTGGTAGAACATGTTTAGATCATATGAATTAATAATTTAATAATTAAAACATTTTAAAGTATATTAAAATTAAAAATTTAGTTTTAAAATAGAAAACATTAAAAAGTAAACTTATATTAACATTGATTTGAAAATAAAAAGAAACACAAAATACAATTCCAAATAATTATTAAAAAAACATATTAATTAAAGGTTACAAACATTTTATTTAATTAATACAAAGTTAAAAAAACTTATTAATTATTTGGAAGATGTCCAAATTTATTCCATATATTCTCAATCAAATCCTCTCTTAATTGGTGATGTGCTTGTCTATCACGAATTCTTGTGTGACCATCACCTAGACCTTGGAGATTTGTAGGCATCTCGACTGAAAACGTATGAATATCGTATTTTTCGAATTCTTCTTCGTCATAGAGAGTGTATGAATGGCGTTCATTTTCGACAATCATATTATGGAGTATGAGACATGCTCTCATAATATATGCTATTTTGCCTTTAGACAAAAACCGACATAGATTTGTAATCATGGCGAATCTAGCTTGTAGGACTCCAAAAGCACGCTCAACATCTTTTCGTGCACCTTTTTGACGTTGTGCAAACAAAGAATGTTTTGGGTGTTGAAGCTGTTGGATGGATTTAACAAAAGTCGCCCATTCGGGATAAATACCATCCGTCAGATAGTATGACAAATTATACTCCCTTCCGTTGACATAGTAGTTTATTTCGGGTGCTCGACCATAAATAATGTCATTAAATACTGGTGATTGATCAAGAACATTTAAATCGTTAGAAGTACCTGGCGCTCCAAAAAATGCGTGCCATATCCAAAGATCAGGAGAAGCTACCGCCTCCAAAACAATTGTTGGTTTATCGGTCCCTCGTGAATACATTCCTTTCCAAGCGGTTGGACAATTCTTCCACTTCCAATGCATGTAGTCGATGCTTCCAACCATCCCGGGAAAACCCCGTTGTTCTCCATAAAAGAGTAGTCTTTCAAGATCCTCTGGTGTGGGTCGGCGTAGGTATTCATTGCCAAACAAATCAACTATTGCGATGACGAAATGTTCCAAACATTGACGTGCCGTCGTTTCACCAATACGTACATATTCGTCAATCGAGTCCGCCGCAGCCCCATATGCTAATTGTCGAATTGCTGCAGTACATTGTTGTAGCGGTGATATACCATTCCGGAAGGTGGCATCTTTTTTTGGTTTAAAATATGGCACTTCGGCTGCGAGACGATTTACAATACGCAGGAACAATGCCTTGTTCATGCGAAACCGTCTGCGAAATAGGTTCTCCGTGTAAGTCGGATTATCACAGAAATAATCCTCCCACAACTGTTCGTGCCCGTCTTCCCAATTTCTTTCTATATAAGTACGCTTCTTCCTTTCGGTCGGAATAACCTCTTCAGTAGCATCACATAGATTATCAAATTGTTCGTCACAATATTGGTCAAAAAATCATCATCATTATTAGATCCATGATGAAAGTCAAAATGATTGGAAGAAGAAGCCATAAAAACGGAACCGAATACGAAGATGAGAAAATATTAGAGAAGGAAAGAAGCGAATTGTATTTGTTTGAAAGGAGAGAAAGATTTTTTTTGGGTGTGAGAGAGTTATAGGAAGTTTGATTTTGATGAGAGAAACATCGGTATGAATCACATATTTATAGAAAGTAATCTATGTGTCTCTTGCTTTAATTCTACAATCCAAACACATGTGACTCTTGCTTTAAAAAAAGTAATCCAAACACATGTGACTCTTGCTTTAATACTACTATCCAAACACATGTGACTCTCGGGTATTGATTCAACATGACATCTGACTTTTTTTACATTACATACTCGATTACATCAATACAAAGTAAAGCTTAAATACATAGAGTCAAGTCCCATGTCTTCTTCAACATGAAACCAACAACACAGAGAGAAGTTTGCAAGCAAATCAGAAACTGGAAATAAAGACAGAGATCAATACAAAGGAAGTTAAAACAGACATCACAGCCATTAAAACTTACCTAACAGAAACATCTCAGACAAACATAGTTAAAACAGACATCAATACAAAGGTAAATTAACTAAGTTTTGCCTAAATTAAAACAGCTCAGACATTAGCTTCTTCTTAAGAACTTTTTCATCTTCATCCAGTGTGTCATTCTTGGCAAGGAGAGTGTTGTAAACAGACATCTTTTGGAGTTTTTCCCTCATCATCATATCTTTCTCTTTCTTCTCCCACATGTTATCAGACGCCAAAGCTGGTCCGACCTTGTCTTTACCTTTGTTCCTCTTGGCTTTCATTGCCTTTATACCAGGAGGCCTACTCTCTTGCTCACCAACATTTGATCCGGAAGATGGTGCAGCATCATCGGCTTTTCTTTTGTTAGAGCTGGTTGTCTTTGAAGTAGGGTTCATAGGCTCCAGGTTAACCCATTTCTGTTCGTAGCGAAGGTCATTCCATGCATACTCCAAAGTGAACTTCTTCTTGTACTTGATAGCGTAGATCTAGTGAGCATTCTTGAGAATGTCCAAGTCATTCATGCCACTGGCTTTCTCACTCACTGCTTCAGCATAAGCTCCAGAAAACCTAGCGACATACCTATGGATTTTTTGCCATCTTTGCCTACAGTGGTCAGGGAGCCTTGGCTCAGCCCCATTTAGTACATGAGTACTAGAAGCATAATACTCTCCTATGCGCTTCCAAAAGGCCCCTGACCTTTGGTCATTCCCAATTATCACATCCTTTGATGTGTATAACCAACCGCTTATAAGAACAAGATCATCCTTGCTGGTCCAAATCCTTCTCTCCCTTGGTGTCTTTTCTGGTTGACTTGCAGCTTGAACTGGTGGTGGGCTCGGTTGTGAACTAAAAGAAGGGATTTGAGAGAAGGAAATGTTTGCATTGGAAGAAAATTTGCCGTAAGGGAAGTTTTGGAGACTATAGTATGGTTGAGATTGACACTGGTTATTTGGATGGTTATTTGAATCCATATCCGACAGCTTAATAGAAGGAAGAGAAGTAAAAGCTTAGGTAAAAGGAGAGATTCAAAGAGGAGATATGATAGAAGAAAAGAGAATAGGAGAGAATGAATTTAACATACCTCTGGTTTAATAGAGGTAAGGTAAACTAGTTATTAGTCTTAAAGTATCATTACCTACCACAATCAAATCAGGTATAAAGACACTTTCAAACCAAAAAAGCTTTAAAGTAGCAAACTCATAATGAGAGCTAACCTTGAACTACCAAGGTCAGATCAGTATTTATTATAACTTTCCACAACTAGAAAGTTAAACAGACATTACTAGTCTGTTTACAACCAAGAAAGCTCATTCATCACATCCAAAGTAACCAGCCACCATTTCAATCATCAAATAACCAGTAAAACAAGTAAAGGAAAAGTTCAGTAAATTTGAATGTTATCCTCCCAAGTAACACACACTTTCGTTAACCAGCCAGGATTCAAACGGATTTGAGTGCATTCTGTTGCAGTTATAGTTAGCTTATTTAATATACATTAAAAATTTATTATTATTCTAGAAGATTATGGTAATCACAGCAAATCAATAAAATAAAAATCAGGATACAAATGCGTACGTACCTTGAAACACGTCCACGACACCCCATCGGATCACACAAATAATAACATCGTATTGCCACTTTTTAAAAGACTTGTAGAAATTGACTGCCTCATAACCGACCAATTCACACTTCAAGACATTATTATTATAACACAACAACATAAACTTAGTGTCAATATAAAAAAAAAAAAAAAACACATTCACATATTAAGTTATAAGACAAAAAATACGTACCTGGAGTCACGAAGATCAAAAGAGATTTTATGATGCACGGAATAATCATCCAATTTGTCAGCTTTACGTTCTTCGACCATCTTACCATCACAACCATCGAGGTTCTCTTCCTCCGACTCAGACACAACGCTATATTCTGAGTCAACATCCTCCTCATCATCTTCGACGCCGTCTTCATAATCGTCCTTTTCCACTTCATAGAAATCATCATCGGATTCAGCCGCACAATCATTGTCATCGCATTCGTCATAGTCACCTACAAAATCGTACTCGTCCTTGCTTACCTCAGAAGCATCATCGTCAGTACTCGCAATGCGATCGTTGACCTCGTCAGTGTCAGTATCTTGTTCATCTTTATCAATCTGATATTCAGGATCAACTTCTACACGACCTTCGTCTTCGGTACACGACTCTTCGTCACTATCGCCGTCACCGGTCAGCTCTTCGACATCATCACTGTTGTAGCCATCCAACGACCCGGTACTCACAGTTTTGACGATATCTCCAGGAGGCTTTAGGCACGTCTTAATCAATCTTTTAAGATAAAAAAATTTCGGTAGAGAGTCACCATCCTCGGAACCGTTGTCCTTTTTATAACCATCCAAATGATCCAAAGTTGGAAATTCACTAACATGAATGACTTGCCCGATAACATCTGAGAATTATTTATATTAACGTTAGTATCACAATTATGTTTAATCTATTAACAAATATATTTAAACGTTATCTTAAAATACTTACCAACCAAGTAATCATCAGAATGAACGCCATCCGTTATCTTTTTTAAAATCAACGAAATCAAAGAAACAATCATCGCGCATAACAGACGCTATATCGATTTCAGTTGAGTACAGAACAATTATTTTGTATCGATGATTAGTGGCCCTGCACGAACCATACTGCTCAACAACCTTAAAATCTTTAAAATCAAACCAATCACCAGAAGTAATCTTAGAAGCATAACGATGGTAAGCACATCCTCTAAACGAAGCCTGCACCTTTGTACCCTTCCAAAAAGAACCAACAAAAAGAGAAAAACATAAAAAGGATGATTAGAACAAAAATCCAACAATCATAATATAAGGAAAAAAACATTAATTCACAAACCTTACTATCGGACAGGATTACTTCTAGACTTGTGCCAAGTCCACGCTCTTCATGGTGCCAGACATTCAGAACCCGCACCCGGATAAGCCAATCAGTCTTAGAAGAATTCAAGAGCGAAACATCGTCAAACATCCTGTACCTCATCACCTGGAAAAATTAAGTAATGAGAAGGATCAGAAAGGGCTAAATCGTTTCAGAAAGCAAGAATATCATAACGAAGTTGTAGTCATTATCTAATAAAGATCCTTACACTGGGAACAAAAAATCGAGTATGTCTAGTCGCTAATCACGGTGGTGTATGGTAGAGATATATCTATACATATATATACACGGATAGACTCAACCAAAGTCATATAATTATAGAAAAATAACATTTTAAAATCGTCGTGATACACACACAATCACAAAAAAATCGGTAAATATTACAAAAACATTATATTCATATTTATCTCCAAACTTCGCGGTTACCAAATAAAATACTGAGAATATTTAGTATAACATTTAAATACTTTTAAAAAAAAGAAACTAACATAATATGGAACATATAATTACATAAAGAGGAAAAACCGTAAACGATATCCACAGATTATTCCGCTAAAATATCAACATTCATATATTCACATATTCATTCTAGCCAAAAAGAAAAAATGGAAACATCTAACTTCCTATGAGCAAAACATATAAACATATATAATAATTATAATACGGAAATTTCTATAATCAGCAAAACGGAAAAATAGAAAACTGTTTAATAGTATAGAATATTTGTATATCAATATTCAATACAATCTCGAAATATTTGGTAGTAAAACAGAATAAGTAGTTCTTATCGTAATAATTTGTGTTTATAATAATTGTTTAAAAGTTTCCGATATTTGTATATATCAATATTAAATACAATCTCGAAAGATTTGGTAGTAAAACATAATAAGTAGTTATTATCTTAACAATTTTGTTTGTATAATAATATTATATAGTATAATCTCTAATTACAAAAATAATGATTATGTGTATAATAAAATTGTATAGGATAACCTCAAGTAATACATACCATAATATAGTCTATTTGTTAAGATCATATCAAATCAACCACAAAGATCATATAAAAAAGAAAATGAGATATATATTGCTATAGTTATTATTGATAGATATGTGTTTCAACTTGATTTATGTAACTCAAATTATTAATAACATTTAAAATAAACGGATGCGATATTTCATCATTATTAACAGCATACGTTTTAAGGTTAATCGTGCTTTATTTCTCTAAAAACGGGTAAATTGGGTATAGCTAAACGAATAAGATAGTTTCAAATACGCTATAATTCACATGATATACCGATATAAAGTGTCATGCCGCCGATTAGGTATAAACCATCGCATATATATTCGGAGTATTAATATTCTCAATAGCGAATATTTTTCCGGTAAAAAATTAGAATCAGAATATGGGTAATATTATTCCCAAGACGATAAGCTCAACATATTCAAAAGTATTTCATTCATTAATACGGAAAAGATTTCGTTTACTAATACGAATTTAGTATAGTAAACAAAGATATCATAACCAAAACCTAAAAATACATCGAGATATCGATAACACGATAATGATAATTATAAGTCCGGAAACATATCTTCCAGTCCATATCGACTTGTGCCCTCTTTTTCATACGATCCGGACCACGTCGCGGCCGATGAATAATCTTCATAGACTCCATAATATAGAACACATCATGTTGAACAGATTTAAAGTTTACATATCACATAAATATATTTAAAACAATAAAACAATGCGTTATAAAAAAAGGCAACACGTAAAAGAATACAGATCGTACCAAAGATAATAAGGCCGCACGGTCGATTGATTGATGATCGTAACTATATGATCACGCAATAGTAGAGCAATAAAATTAATTTTGTTTTTGGTAAAAAACGCATAAATCAAGCAAGATTAGGGAGATACCTCAGTTTGGTTTGAGCTTCGTTTGCAATTCCATGATCCAAAAAGTTTATGCTTGTATCTGAGGAAAGAAAGAAGTGCTAATCAAAGTCGTCATGAGAATTATCATGCATATATAAAACCAAACAGCTACGAAAATCAAAACATGTAATCGACCAAACTATAAACCTCGCGTAAACAACTCATCACGAATTGGCAAAGATCATTGAGATCTTACTTTCCAAGTAACCATAACATACAAAGAAAAAAAAAATCGACGACGATGCATCATAGAAAGGACCAAATTTGAGGTACAAAAGAGTACTATAAACCATAATTGCTATGCATAAAAATCAAGCCGTGATGTATGAGTTTCAAGGGAGGCATCCTATATTTATAGGATTTTTCAGCATAAAGTTTTAAGGTTTTACATATGACGGTGTAAATTATACCGGACCATTTTTTCCCCGTAAAAGTATAAGCCCAATAAGCGAATGAACGAATTAGGGTTAAAGAAACGAAAATCGTTTATTTTCTTTTTTCAGAATTTCGTTTTTTTTAACAAAATAGAAATTTAACTAATTTAATATAATTAAAGGGAAGGGGGTAAAAACGACTGCTCATATTCTAAGAGCGAACGTGAGCACTTTTGACTTCTCCTTTAATATATAAGATAGAGAAAGGTGTATTTTTCAAATGAAAACTAAAATAGGATAGTTTTCAAAATCTCCTTATTTACCATAAACTAGATTTTAACCGGCGGTACAACGCGGAGCTATAATTTATTTTTAAAAAATCAAAATGTAATTTGTTTGATAGATTATCTTTATATATAACCTATTGTTTTGTATTTTACATATATATATATATATATATATATATCTTTCTAAACATTTAAAATTTTTAAAATTTTCTAATTATGTATTAATATATATATAATATGTATTATTTATTATTTTTTAAAATTTAACTTGTAGTACATGTGTAAAGTAATTTAGTATTGTAATTATATATGTAAGTGTCAGAAGAGGTTAACAATTTTATTTAACTCATCTTACATTAGACAAATGTCAATTCTAAGCTAGGATCCAATCATACCCCGTTTTCTCAAGTTGTAGTATACATACTACTGTTGAACCTAACCCATTCTACCATATGATTTGGGAGCTCTTCACTTTTATTTTTATTTTGATAAAAGTAGAACACCAAAAAGATTTGTTATATTTAATCTTTTTTTTTGTAAATATTATATGATGTTAGTATAATAATAATTTATTTTTTTGGAATATTTTTAGATTCTATAATTATATATATCTAATTTTGTTTTTTCTTCCATATATACTAATCATAATTAATTAGTATAGTCTAGTTAAGGAAATATTTTAAAATCTAAACTAAATTTCGTTGTATGAGTTGATAATAAATGAAAATATTTGGAAAGCGATTTTTAAATTATATGGAATAGAAACGAACATTGTTGAGATATGGTCGATGATTTTGTCTCTTTTTTTATTATAATTATTGGCTAATAATTTTTATTGTAATATCTTAACCAAAATAAAACAAATCTAATTAATAAATTTCAATGGCATGTTATCGTAAATAACTTCAAACTCCAGGACTACAAGAAAACATCACAATTTCCGACGACGGTATTGGTCGGAAATTCGTCGGAAATAGCATATTCCGACACATTTCCGACAAAATCAAATTCGTCGGGATTCTCTGGTCGAAAACCATAAGTCGTCGGAACTACTTATATCACTTACCTAATCTCATCTAATGTTTCTTTAAATTCTCCAATACAATCTTTAAAAATCGTCTATATGGCTATAACAATTCAAATACATTTCCATTATATGTTTCCCTCTTCTACTTGAATCAAAAATTCCCGCCTATCCTCATCTCTTATCATCTCGCAAAATCTCCATTTCTGATTTTCTTGAAACAGATTTCTAATAAGAGCAACTGCTTTAATGCTAACAATTACTCTAGATTCCTTAACTCTAACAATCTAGAGATTTTATGCCGATTTAGTTGAGATTACGATTCTTTTTACTCTTTCAGCTCAAGCATTCTTTAACCTAATCTATAAGCCTATATATAGTTCCATGCCTAACCTCTCATAATCATCATCAATCATAGCCTACCATCGATAAGTATTCTCTAATCTATTACCAAAAAAATGGTTGCTGCAACTTTTGCTTACCTAAAAGATGTCCGGCCTTACAAGACACAATGGAGAGTCCAAGTTAAGGTGCTTCATTCCTCGCGTCAGTACACCGCCAATACTGGTGAAACTCTAGAGTTGATTTTATCTGATGAAATGGTAAAAACAAACACAAACAGTTATAAAGCTTAAATTACATTATCTGGAATCTATTTTTGTTATCTAATTCTAGAGTTTCTATTTATTTTTTACAGGGCAAGAAAATTCATGCTACTGTGAAGAAGGAACTGGTGAGCAAATATGCACCCAGGCTACCTGTTGGTCATTGGAGTTTTATTGAGATCTTTAGTCTCAACTATGCCAGTGGCCAATTCCGTCCAACCAATCATCTATACAAGATGACTTTCACCAATGAAACTCAGATATTTCCATGTGATCCTCTCTCTGATTCAAGTTACCTGTCCCTGGCCAGTTTTCAGAGAATTCAAAGTGGAGATCTTAATCCATACATGTTGGTTGGTAAGTAACTAATTTCAATCTATATATATACTGAATCATACGACATGTTTTAGACAGTACATATATATCATTCTCTCTGTTTTTGTCTTTTAGATGTTATTGGTCAGATTGTTATGATTGGAGAGTTGCTGACTCTTGAAGCCAATAACAAACCAACAAGCAAAATTGAGTTTGAGATGCGAGATGAAACGTAAGTTACTGTTTTTATTCAATATATTTTCTACTTTAATTAACTGATCGTGTTCATTTTTGTGACAGTGATGAGAGGATTGGTGTTACCTTATGGGATTCCTTTGCTGAGACTGTTTATAGAGGAAGCCAAGATGCTGATGAGCGTCTTGTGGTCTGTTTGCTGAGATTTGTCAAGATCAAATCCAACAAAGGTACACATTAATGAATCTTATTTATTATATAGATATGAAAACTAAAAATAAATATATATCTTAAATCTCATTTGGAATCTACAGGTGTTAGAACTCTGTCTAATTCCTTTGATGTTTCACAAGTTTTTGTGATACCACCATTTCCAGAGGTTGCTGCTTTTGTGCAAAGGTAAAGTGATAAACAGGAGACAGGATTGGTGATATCGTTTTTGTTCCTCTCATAAACATTACACCTTCAGACACCAAACTGCCATTCAAGATGCGTAGAAGACAGTTTCCACTATCTGTTGCATTTGCTATGACTATCAATAAGAGTCAGGGACAATCTCTTGATCAAGTTGGCCTTTACTTGCCTAAACCCGTCTTCTCTCATGGCCAACTTTATGTTGCGTTGTCTAGAGTTACTTCTAAGAAAGGTTTGAAAATACTAATACTCAACAAAGAAGAGAAGATTCAGAAGCAAACAACAAATGTTGTTTTCAAAGAAGTTTTCCAAAACATAGACTGACATGAGTAGTCAGACTATATCTATACATAAAGTCTTCAAGGAGGTATGTTTACTTTTCATTTCCATTGTAAGATTTCAATTATGGATTGAAAAACCCCCAAAACAGTTTTTAAATGCAAACTCTATTTCAATTTCTTATGTAGGAACCTTTTTTCTAAGCAACAAGACATTCACTAGATCAAAGATGCAAGCAGATCGGAAAGAATATGGCATATATGATACACATTCACTAGATCAAAGATGCAAGCAGATCGGCAAGAATATGACATATTTGATACTTGACTATTTTCCTATAAACTTCATACTATCATTCTCCCATTTTTCTTTCAAATAAAACAGAGAAACAGCTTATTCTACATGATTGGTTCATGATACTAACCTTGCTTAGTCAGTTACTTGATGAATTCTCCATCTTCAAAACTATTTGCTTCTGTGTACATCTGCATAACAATCCGTTGTTTACTTTGGCTCAGTTACAGTCATCTTTCAAGTTTACTTAATCTCAATAGTTGCAGAATCCAATTCAGCTTCTCTTAGTATTTATAAACATCTAGAATTGAAGGGTTTAGCTCAACTAACCTTAAGAATGCTCCGATTATGAATTCATTGATCGATTGTGTTGTTTCTGTGACACAATCAGTTGATTACGCACTCTGTTGATATCAGCAAGTCTTTTTTTTTTTTTTTTTTTTTTTTTTTTTTTTTTTTTTTGATATCAGCAAGTTTCATGCATCCACTGAATTTTCCAGATTCTCTTCGATTGCAACATGGTGATTGTTTTCCGCGGAGGAGATTGTTGAACAGAAATCGAATCGGAAATTGTTCACCACTACACTGCTCGACATATCCCTTCACAGATGGAATCATGATCGACGAGTAGAGCAATAAAATCTTGGAGCGGCGAGTTTTTGATCTTCGTTTTGTTTTTTCTTCTTTAGTTCACCGACGAATTCTAATCCGTTAACGGATTATAATTTTGTCCGTTTGTTTTTTTTTTCAATTAAAAAAATTTCATTTGTTTCTTTTAACAATTAATCCAAATTAATTAAATCCAAAAATCTTACTAATTATAACCATATCTCATATAATAATTCAACTAACCTAATTTGTTTATATAATACCTTTAGTATACATAATTTTTAAGTTTATACTATTTTAAAAAATACACACATTCAGCACTTAACTTTTATTTACAATAAATAGAAATGCATAAATTCAATAATTGGTAATTTTAATTATTTGACTCAATATATTACAATCAAATCAAAATTCATATAGTCTGTTACCAATATTATAAACTAGGATCTTAATAAAAATATACACGTTAATATATGGGCCTTAAGCCCAAAGTAATCCTTATTTTCTCTCCATAAAACTAAAACTAATCTTTAATTAAGTTTCTTTTTCCGATCTCGAGAACAGAAAAAAAACAGCAAACAAATCATCGTCTCCAAGATCGTTGCGTTTCCCGCTCAAACTTCCGAAGCTCTCGTGACATCATCAATGGCACTCTTCTATAACCTGCAAGAAAATCAGATAGTGGTACCAGAAGGTAAGTGTAATTAATGAACTTCAGATTTCATAACAGTTGATAGTTCATGAAATCAAGAATCGGGATTGTAGATACACCAGAATTTGCTTGCGTTTTAAGGTATCTATTCATTTTAATACTCATGAAGACATAGATCATGAGATCGATTGCTTCTTGATAGGATTAGTAAGTTAGAAGAACACAAGCCACTAAACAATCAAGAAACTATGTATATCATGAACAATTGATGTATCCTTAGAACATAAAAACGACTATACACAAATCAACAACACCATTCAACGTGTGAGTTTGCTTATAGCTTGAATTTTAATGATTTGGTACAATTATCTTGTATTCTCTATTGCAGATGTCCAGCTATTGATCAATATCTCCGTAGAGAGATAGATTCCTCACAGGACCAGAGATGGAAGTTATGTTTGCACATAGGAACCTATTCCCTGTTTCAGCGGTCACACCAGCTGAGACAACTGGTCTTTTCAGAATACAGAGCGTATATTTTATTGATGAAAACGTGTGGGACTTGGCTCCACATGGGAATGGAGTCGTAGTCGGTGGGGTTTTGGTAAGTTAATGGAACCTCTCATCAGATTTGGTTCAATGTTTTGCTAAGTTAATGGAACATTTTGTTTCCAAAATGCAGCAAGGAAACAACATCCGGCTTAACTTCACATTTGCTACCAGTGCTCAGCTATCTAGACGAACCATACGAAATAGACACGAGTAAGTTTTTGTTTTTTTCGTGATCAGATTTGTATCAACTTAACAGGGCCCCTAATGGTGTTTTCCCTTTTCTATTTCAGGTTCAATGCCGACACCTTTGTCCACTACTTCTGAAGCGACAACTTTATAATCTGTTGTCCAATTGAACTATAGAATTTAGATTGGCAAGGTTTTGTTTTCTATTAACTCTGCATGTGAAACTATTGGTGTTATAGCACTCGCAATTAGGTCACAGTTCTTAGCATATCAGTAAAACATCTTGAAACTAATCTAAGCCAACGGAAACCCTTTCAGTGGAATAAGTTAAATTAAGGCTATATCAACTATTGTGAGAAAGTCAAGGTACTGTAGGTCTCACATCGTAGGGCTGGAAGAACGCAGCATAGGCTGAATAGAGCACATAGGTTCAAATCAAACTATAAATAAAGTCAAGAGCAATTGCTACAGCGGGATACATTACCTCATTTAAAACCGCCATGGCGAGATGTAGCCATCTTCTGCCTGCATTCTAAATCATGCTTTAGGTCTCCAACTGCGCAGGCAATATAAAGGTCAGCTACATGTTCGTTTGATGTCAATTGACTAGATACAGGAAAATTCTCCGAATATACAGTGATTACACATCAACCATAGAGAACGGTATGAAGTAAATATACCCTCTATCCAGTGCATATGTAGCTTGTGGGAGTGCTCTGTTGGTTTCGCTTTCCTCTGATGTTGTATCACCTCCATTGTCAAATACGACCGCGACACGGTTCCCACTCATCTCATAGATAGCTAGATAATGGTCTGCAGGAATATAAAATAATTGTTAAAGACAAAAGATAGGGCATCTACTATCCTATGTGCATAGTATTTAGCATGTCATGGAAGTTAACTAGGTCTTAGAGGGTTCTAACGCCATGAAGAGCAAAAGAAAGAGAGTAAATAGGTAAGAGAAAGACAAAACAAACTAAAAACCACAAGACATTTGACCTATCGTTTCTCTTTCACAGGACGAGTAAGCAGCTGACCTGCCAGGAATAACAGTAAATACACTCTTTTGACCATCAGATGTAAAAGTCTTGCCCATCCATTCACAACCCATTATCCATTCACAAGGCAACATAGGAAGAAATTTAAATTTCGATGAGCTAGCTAGAGCAATTTTTTCTAGCGCAGATCACAAACAACCAACTCGAACCTCTGGTTATATTATCCAAGATTTTTACAGGATGGTGCCTGAGGCTGCCAGGTTTCGAAGGAATAAAGAGTTTTGGTGTAGCAAGAAAAATTACGTATTCTATAAAGCTCATTTGAAAAGTATGGAATCTAAGTGCATTCAAAAAAACCTTGAGCTAGAAATCCCTACCCTCTTTAGGCGTTCCAATCTAATTGGAAGTTCAAGAACAATCAGTACAGACTAAATTTTCTCAATCTGAGTTAACGCAATTATACCTTTTCGAACACCTCGAGTTTTGGCACAGTTTTCTTGATAGCTTCCTCAAAAACCTCGGCACAAGCCTCATCATCATCAACTCCCATCTGTTTTCGCTTCAGAATTCTTCCTCAGCTTGCTTCCGCTTCTACGTTCTCAACATCGGATTCATTGTATTCATCAGAAAATCCTGATCCACAATCGACAAATATTGATTTGACCCACAATTGACAACAACAACAACAACAACAAAAAAAAAAAGGGGGAACTTGTAAATCTGATTTGATCTAAGAAGTAAGAAGACGATAGCAACTGTACCTTGCCGGCCGGAGGTACAAACCGGCTCCGCCATTCTCAGACCCGTGAACCGATCTAAAACGATTCCACCAGACCACCGCGTCCCGACCCCGTTCGGACCTGTCGGGTCCCGGCCTCCCATGTATCTCTGTATCTCTATTAGAGCATAAGCTCTACCGCAGCAGAATGAGATTCTCGATATTGTTTTCGTTTTGGGGCCTGAAAGCCCAGGCCCAGCTATATTATTTACGAAATTGGCTTGCTAATGGGTAAATTTCTTAGATTAACTTTGTGTAATGGATGTTTTTGTTTAGACTTGCAAAACGGTAGTTTTTTTTTTTCTTCCACTAATTCTTACTGACCATTTTGTTGAAACAACGTGGATCTTTTATAATCAACTAGGCAGGCTGTGGCTTTTTTTTTTTTGTTGAAATGTGTAATTTATAAATCAAAATAAGAAACTATGTACAAGAGTTTTGTAAGTAGCTAATAAAAGATTAAGCTAAAATAGAGCAATACATGAAACAGAGTTAAGGCCGGACCATAAGCCATCGTTGAAATAGAATAAAAATATCATTAAAGAATGAAAGTTGAGGTTTACAAAGAAGTTAGATCTAGATAATTATTATTTTGCCAAAAAAGGTAAAACAAAAACAAGGAAGTATAAACAAGAGAATTATAAGATTCTTTATCGGAGTCACAGTTGCATCAGTCTGGAGAAGTTGCGTCTGTGTCTTCTAGCTTAAATCGAGTTACGTACTAGTTTGTCAATTTCCCTGAAAACTGTCGAGGCTGGAATGACTTGGAAGTTGTGAAGCATGTTGTTTTTCTGTTTTCATATGCCGTAGACGATGGCTTGAGTCACAAGTTTTCGCAGCAGAGTTGGGGTTCTTGCAGAATCAACATGGTTATTGTCATTTAGGGATATAGGTTTTTTTACAGTTTTTTGTGTTCTTTCTTACACGATTATTTTAATTTGTTCTACAATTGTTCTTTTATCATTAAATTATGAAATAGAAATTTATGGGGCAAAATTCGATTGGTTAGATGACTTGTGTTTTATAATATAAAGGATATGTATGTTCGTTTTTTGACTTGAGATTTTTCTTTTTTACGATTTGATTTTGGATGTCTATATAAAATATGTTTAAATGTAATTCGTACATATATAATATTATAATTTTAAAATAAATTAGAAAGGATATATAAATCATTTAGAAATACCTTTCACACATTCGCCAATGAAACGTTCTATGGATTTTCTTGTTTTTGTTTTTGTTTTATTATATTTTGGACAAAGAAGCATGTTCGTAACTTTAGCTTCTTTTTTTCTCGTAACTTAAGCATGCATTATCAAGTGTTTGATCATGTCAACCATCAATTTGGATACCAAACGTCTATTATATATATATATATGAAATATTAGTTTTGATTGTGTCAATGAAATATACTACTTCCAAATTATTTTGTACGTTCTTACGATTTTTTTTTTTAATTTTTTGAATGCAATTATTTTAATGACATTCTATGTAATATTCTACAATTAAAATGTTTTTTATTTTTTAGCGATTCCCAATATGAAAAATAAATAAATAATTAGATAATGAGTCAGCAGCTTCGGTGAATTGTTCTGTATCTCGGAGTATTACTGCCGGCGACGAGGGATAGTCTTATCTTCTTCTCTCAGATGACTTTTATTTTTCTTTCTCTTCAGATTCAAATCCTAGATTCGATCGGAGAATGACCACGACGACGCCGGAGAAGACTCCGGCGAGACCTCTCTCTATCCATGATTGGGACGTTCTCATCGACGACTTCCGAGACGCCGGCGCTCCTCGCGACTGGTTCACTTCCGTTTTCCAGATTGATTCTCTGGTAGACTTCGCTCTCTCGTCTCTCCTCAAGAAAGACTTTCCTACGCCGGTGAAGCTCTCAATCCTTGTCTTTCTCGACGAATTTTCCCCGATTTTGTTTGATAAATGTGGTAACGACACCTTTGATCGCTTCATCGATGTTCTCCGTGCGATTGTACAATCTCCGACTGATGGATCTTCCGGATTTAAAGAGCAAGCTATGGTCTCTTTTACGTCTGTGCTTGTATCGATTGATTCTTTCTCTGTAGGTCACGTTGAAGCAGTTGTTGATTTACTTCTTGCGCTCGTTAATCGTCCTAACCACGGCTTTGATCGACAAGCTCGTGCTATCGCCTGTGAGTGTTTACGTCAGCTTGAGAAAGCATTTCCTGGTTTGCTATCTGATGTCGCTGGTCATCTTTGGTCGTTGTGTCAAGCGGAGAGAACTCACGCCGTGCAAGCTTATCTTCTCTTGTTCACTACAATTGTCTACAATGTGGTTAATCAGAAGCTTAAGGTTTCACTTCTTAGTACCTCTGTACCATTGGTGCCTTTTAATGCTCCTAATTGGATGCGTGATCAGAGTTTGATTATGAGTCATGGTCAAGGGTTGGGGCCAGATCAAAAGGAACTGAGACGAACATTGGCTTTTATGTTGGAATCTCCGTATTTGTTCACGTCTTGTGCTATGATGGAATTTATGGGTATGGTTGTGCCACTTGCGTCGGCGTTGGAGTTACAGGCCTCTATGTTGAAAGTTCAGTTCTTGGGGATGATTTATTCGTTTGATCCAATGCTTTGTCATGTTGTCTTGCTTGTGTATTCTCAGTTCCCTGATGCGTTTGAGGGACAAGAGAAAGAGATCATGAGACGTCTTATGCTCTTTTCCAAGGAGACTCAGATCTATCTTGTTTTCCGCTTGCTTGCACTGCACTGGTTAATGGGTTTGTTGAATAAGCTTATGCTGAGTGGGGAGCTTGAGAAGAGGAAATCTGTTCTTGAGATGGGTCAGAAGTTTCATCCTGTAGTTTTTGATCCACTCGCTTTGAAAGCGTTGAAGCTTGATCTGCTGGTACAATGCTCTGTTAGTTCCAACGCTTTGAGTGGAGGTGATAACAGTAAGTCTGCTGGAGATCTGTTGCAGGACTGCTTGGTATCGGTTTCGGATTTCAAATGGTTGCCTTCATGGAGCTCAGAAACTGAACTAGCATTCCGCACTTTACACAAGTTTCTGATATGTGCATCTACACATTCCGACTCTGACCCTTCCACCACTAGAAGCCTTATGGAGTCTAGCCTCTTCCAAAACGTGCAGGTCTGTAGCTCTCTTTGCTTGCTTCTTGGTCTTGCTTGATGATGGTTCACTTTTGCTAGTTTTCAGAAGGAACGGAACTCTGTGGCCCTTTTTAGTTTTAATTAGTTTTAGTTCATGAACCAATCTTTTTGCTGATTCTGCTCTCAGATGTACTCTTCCTTTATTTTGATTGTCTTCTATATTTAATTCAGGGGTTGCTGGTAGACATGACTTTGGAGTTTCAAATCTTGGTCCCTGTTATTGTGGCTTTTATTGAGCGGTTGATACACTGTCACAAGCATCAGTGGTTAGGAGAGCGGTTTCTTCAGACAGTCGATGAGAATCTGCTTCCCAAACTTAAGAAAAAAAACTTATTAACAGCTTACTTCCCGCTTTTCCATCGGATAGCCGAGAATGATACAATACCTCCTTCTCGATTGATAGAGCTGCTTACGAAGTTTGTAATTTCACTTGTTGAGAAGCGCGGGTTTGATGTGGGGTTGAAATTGTGGGATCAAGGAACTGAAGTTCTTGGCATTTGTCGAACACTGATGAGTCACCATAAGAGCTCTAGATTATTTCTTGGACTTTCTCGCCTTCTTTCCCTCACATGTCTCTATTTCCCTGATCTGGAGGTCCGAGACAATGCTAGGTATGACCATGACACACACTTAACTAAATCTTTCTAATATTTATGAATCGTGATGGCGTTAACCCGACCTTTTAAATTGGTATATTGTAGGATATATCTGAGGATGCTGGTCTGTATACCAGGACAGAGAATTAAGAACATATTGAAGCCCGCAGATGCTGTCTCTCCATCAACCCATTCTTCTACATTCTTTAGTGTTCAAAGTCCTCGTTTTCGTCATGATCCTAGTAAATCTCGGAACCTTTCATCCTATATTCATCTTGAACGGGTTACGCCCCTACTCGTGAAACAGTCATGGTCATTGTCTCTACCATCTCTAAGTGTTGGAACTGATGGATATAGCATTATAGAAAACAAAATCCAGGTAGATGAAGTTGAGCCGGATGGCAGTCAAGAACTTCAGATTTTGCCAGAAGCTCGAAGAATTGAATCAGGAAAACCTACGTTAAGGGTAATGGACTCAAAGATTGCAGAGATTCTAGAAAGATTAAGAAGATATTTCTCTGTGATTCCTGATTTCAAACACATGCCTGGAATTAAGGTTAGAATAACGTGTACTTTGAGATTGGATGCTGAACCATATAGCAGTATATGGGGAAGTGAAAGTCAGAAAATCGATTTAGAGAAAGTCGACTCACCTCCTGCGATTTTCGCGACCGTACTCAAATTCTCATCTTCAGCCCCGTATGGCTCTATTCCCTCATGCCGCATACCTTTCCTTCTTGGTGAGCCTCATTGGAACAGCAATGTACCCAATGAAGAAGTTTCTTTAGACATCGTCCTGGTAGAAAACACACTGAAAGAGGAGGAAAAAGATGGCTTGAGAGGAGCACCTGTAACAGTGGAACTGGAACCTAGAGAACCTACACCAGGTTTGGTCGAGGTTTCAATGGAAGCAAATGCAGAGAATGGTCAGATGATTCAGGGAAAACTCGAGAGTGTCCCTGTGGGTATCGAAGACATGTTCCTAAAAGCTCTTGCTCCAGTGGACGAACCTGAAGATACAATACCGAGCTACTACTCAGATCTATTCAATGCTTTGTGGGAAGTGTGTGGTTCTTCATCCAGCACCGCACACGAAACATTTGCACTAAAAGGTGGCAAAACGGCTGCAGCAGTCAGCGGGACTCGGTCAGTAAAACTGCTTGAAGTCCCTGCGGAAATTGTAATACAGGCCACTGAGCTTCGCTTAGCGCCCTTTGTTGTGGCTATCAGCGGAGAACAGCTTGTAAACATTGTAAGAGACGGAGGAATCATCGAGAACATTGTGTGGAAGGAAGAGGAAGAAGAACAAGGGGATCGCGCAAATGCGGACCAGTCTTCTTCATCCTCGGTGGGATTAAACCGAGGCCCTCTTCGTCTGACATACATTGGATATGGAGATGACCAAGAGGTTCCGATGACGAGGAGCAGAGGGAAAATGGGAAAGATAAAGATGCTGATGTTTCTTCCTCCGAGATATCATCTGATGTTTGAAATGGAAGTTGGTGAAGGATCGACATTGGTGCATATAAGAACAGATTATTGGCCTTGCTTAGCTTATGTTGATGATTACTTAGAAGCTTTGTTTTTGCAATAGCAGAGACTTTCACTATTTTTTGCTTATTCTTTTGGCACACCTACATATAAAGTTACCCAAACGAACAAACACAGAGTCTGACGATGCTATTTTTTTGAGAAATTTATTTTTATTGGGATAAAGTAGAAACTAGTGCAAGTGAGATAGTTCTAAAGTGAAATTGTATCTTTGGAAGGCCATTGATGACAAAGTTTTTAATAACAAAGAAGAAGAAAACTATTCTCATAAAAATAGAAGACAAAAAAGGTAAAAAACGAATGAAAAAAGATGCAAGAAAGAAAGAAAACTATTATTCATAAAAAATAAGCTATAAAATTAATAGTTGTATATTAGGCCTTGTTTGTTTCATCATTTGGTATTTGCATCCAAATGATCTATCCAGATGATGCATCTGAATGATGTTTGTTTGATCATTTGGGTAGTTCATCTTAATGATGCATTTAAAGGGACATTTGTTTGTTTGATCATTTGGTAATTCATCCACATCCTCATCTAAATAAAAATGACTAAAATACCCATGCATTTAAATGGACCTTTAAAACCAACCAATGTCACTGCTTTAGTGAAATACATTCATAATGTAAGATTAGGGACATAATAATCAAAGCAGTGTCTTAAAACAGAGCAAGAAGAGATTGGTTTTGTTCCTCGATTTGCTTAATCTAGATAGAGACTTTACCAAACAAGTATTTGCTTCTCGATTCAAACCCAACTCCTGAAAGAACAAGTCAAGGATCATCAAATCCAGCAACAAAATCAAAACTTAGAAAACACATCAACCTACAGCTACGTGTGTGCACTATTCCATAAGAAACGAAAAAGAGTAAAACCCCTTAAACCAAGGATAAACAATTACCTTCATAAGGTGATTGTGTAGGTCCAAGAATCATAACATTGAAATACCGGGAGCTGCAGCAATCAATTGAACAAAACTCAGTTAAAATCATATTTAAGACCTGAAAACAAAGACATGAATCATAAAACTAATTACTGCTTAGGTACACAAACCTGTTAATATGGAAGTCTCGTTCCTTCAGCCATCTCTGTAGTGATAGAATCCCGCATATCCTCCATAATTCTGTCACCAGAAGGTACATATGGAACATGCCCATCATTTTCATCACCATGCTGCTCATATGATTCCACCATTTCCCAATGTCTAAAATCACTCAAAAGCTGGAAAAACAAATAGAGACAGCTTTTCAAAACCACTCAAAAGCTGGAAAAACAAATCAATAACATGATCCAACTAATTCTCATTCACACAAAATAAACCTTGCAACATTGATACATATAAAAAAACTAGGCAGTGAAAGACACTCATTGAATGAACCATTGTAACTCTCTTGTAACTTCTTTTTTACTATGAAACTAAACATAGTAGCAGCAACCTCCACACTAATAAAGTGACGTAGGAGGGACTTAGTTTTAGTAGTTTTACTTTTCCTTTGATATTTCCTTATTTCACGTTTCTATTTTGCTTAGAGTTTTCTATTTTATGTTTTGGTTTCTTCTCTATATAAAGAGAGATCCTAGGTTATTTGCAAGACAGTTTTATCATTCTAATTAATAAAAGCAGAGAGCTTTTCTCTAATCTGGTGGATTTCCAGAGTTTCAATCCTTCAAGTTCGACGCTTGCGAACTTGATTCCTATCTAGGCATAGTGTTTGCTATTCCTAGAGATTCCGACTGCGTCAAGTGGTATCAGAGCAGGCAATCTCCTACTCTTTTCGAAGCTTGAACAGCTATGGGTGATCAACCAGTAACCAAGGCCGACATGGAGGGTTTCACAGCAAGTTTGAAAGACTCAACCACGAACCTGGCAAATCTGGTGGCAGCGTTAACTAATCAGATTGCAGCATTAACCAATCAGATTGCTAACGCAGGACAAGGAGGAGGAGAAGGAATGGGACGAAATCAGAATCAACAAGGCAGACACAATCGACAACAAGGCAGAGAAGGAGAACAAGTGGTGTTTAACGAAAATCAGCAAAGAGGCAGAGAAAGAGAACCGGCTAGGCTTAACGAAAATCAGCAGAGAAACCAGGGAAGAGGAATCCCAAGAGTGGAAAACAATCGTGTTATTATCAATGAAAATTCAAGTTCTGATGAAGAGGAATTTGTGGAAGAAGAAGATGAGCAAAGGAATCGACAGAATAATCACGATTACCGCGTAAAGGCTGACATTCCATTATTTTATGGAACTATTGGAGTTGAAGATTTTCTAGACTGGCAAATCAGTGTTGATAGATTCTTTGAAGTCATGGGCGTTCCTGAAAACAAGCAGGTTAAGATGGTAGCGATCAGGCTGAAGAGTACTGCTGCTGTGTGGTGGGATAAACTTGTTATTCAGAGGCAAAGACAAAGAAAAGGGCCAGTCAAAACATGGAGGCGAATGAAGCAGCTCATGATGGAAAGGTTCTTACCGGAGGACTATGAACAGATTCTCTATAAGATGTATATTGAATGTGTTCAAGGAAAGAGGACCGTGACAGAGTATACGGCGGAGTTCTTGCGATTCTCTGAGCGTAATGACCTAGGAGAGACAGAAAATCAGAAAGTGGCAAGATACATCAGTGGGTTAAAGAGTTCTATACAAGAGAAGATGGGTTTGCAAACTGTATGGACAGTGCAAGAGGCTTCTAGTCTAGCTTTGAAAGCTGAGTTAATGGAAAAATCTCCTCGTAATTTTACTCCTTTTAGAAGATACTCATCCCAAAATAATTCTGAATTAACCGGAGATAAGGAGAAGAGTGTAGTGTCAAAGGATGCTAATCTTGGTAACAAAGGAACTGGTAGTTCTAACAATGGTTCTAATAATGTTCAGCAGAGCAAAACACCAATCCAAAGGCAAGGTAATAATTATGCGAGACCATCTATCGACAAGTGTTACCGTTGTCAAGGGCAAGGTCATAAATCAAATGTTTGTCCAAGCAGGAGAACTCTAGCTTACCTAGAGGAAGAAGAAGAACATGAAGAAGAGGATAATGAGTATGAAGGAGTTGAGTTTGCTGAAGAAGAATCGCATGAAAGGGTGAATTGTGTACTACAAAGAATCTTGTTGTCATCCAAAGAAGAGGGGCAACGCAAGAATTTGTTTCGAACACACTGCACTGTTCGAGATAAAGTGTGTAACCTGATTGTGGATAATGGTTGTACCGAGAATTTAGTTTCTCAGAAGCTAGTTGATCATTTTAAGCTACCTACAGAGCCACATGAGAAGCCATACGCTCTAGGTTGGGTTACCAAGGGTACCCAAGCTCAAGTAGCACTAACTTGTAAAGTTCCTATCTCCATTGGGAAGCACTATAAAGAAGAGGTACTTTGTGATGTTCTTGATATTGATGTTTGTCATATTTTACTTGGTCGACCTTGGCAGTATGATAATGATGTCACATATCGAGGACGGGATAACGTGTTGATGTTTACATGGGGTGTACACAAGATTGCAATGGCTCCTGTTTTACACTTTCATAAGGATTCAGTAAAGAAAAAGTCTAGTTTCTTGGTGTTGACGCATAGTGAAAAGGAGCTAGATGAATCCTTTAAAGAGACTAACTGTTTATGTCCGGTGGTGATCAAAGGATTAATGAGTGCTGTGAAAGAAGAGGTGGCAATTCCCGAAGATGTGCTAGAAATTTTAGAAGAGTTCAAGGAGTTGATAGCAGATGAATTACCAAATGATTTACCTCCCATGCGAGATATTCAACATCAGATCGATCTGATTCCGGGATCTAGCTTACCAAATCTTCCTCATTACCGTATGAGTCCTAAGGAGAATGAGATCTTGAGAGAGCAGATTGAAGATTTGTTGAAGAAAGGATTCATTCGTGAAAGTATGAGCCCATGTGCAGTTCCAGTCCTTCTTGTTCCCGAAGATATGCTTGATGAATTAACAGGTTCTAAGGTGTTTTCGAAGATAGATCTTCGTAGTGGATATCATCAGATCAGAATCAGACCCGGAGATGAATGGAAGACAGCTTTCAAAAGTAAAGATGGATTGTATGAATGGCTAGTGATGCCTTTTGGATTATCAAATGCACCTAGTACTTTTATGAGGCTAATGAATCAGGTTCTTCGCCCCTTCACAGGTTCTTTTGTGGTCGTTTATTTTGATGATATTTTGATATACAGTAAAACCAAAGAGGAGCACTTAGAGCACGTGAAGCAAGTGTTGCAAGTTCTACAAGAGAACCAGTTGTTCGTTAATTTGAAGAAGTGTGTATTTAGCACCAACAAGTTGCTATTTTTAGGATTTGTTGTTGGCGAGGATGGAATTCAAGTTGATGAAGATAAAGTGAGAGCTATCAGGGACTGGCCTACACCTCATTCGGTTACGGAAGTACGCAGTTTTCATGGTCTAGCTACTTTCTACCGGAGATTCATCAGAGATTTCAGTACTATTACTGCTCCTATTACCGAGTGTTTGAAGAAAGGTAAATTTTACTGGGGTTATGAGCAAGAGAAAAGCTTCGCCTCAATCAAAGAGAAGCTTTGTACTGCACCCGTTCTAGCATTACCTGACTTCGATAAGGTGTTTCAAGTTGAATGTGATGCTAGTGGGGTAGGCATAGGAGCTGTTTTGTCACAAGAGAAGAGGCCAGTTGCATTTTTCAGTGAGAAATTAAGTGAAGCTCGCCAAAAGTGGAGCACATACGATCAAGAATTTTATGCTGTATTTAGAGCTCTAAGACAGTGGGAGCACTATCTAGTACAGAGGGAGTTTATCTTGTTCACCGACCATCAGGCTTTGAAGTTCTTACACAGTCAGAAAGTGATCAATAAGATGCATGCTCGATGGGTAAGTTTTCTGCAGAAATTCCCTTTTATTATTCAACATAAATCAGGGACTCTTAACAAGGTCGCGGATGCTTTAAGTAGAAGAGCTTCTTTGCTAACAACCTTAGCACATGAAATTGTTGGATTTGAGTTCTTGAAAGAATTGTATGAGAGTGATATTGAATTCAAGGAGTTATGGGCCAAGTGTAGTGGAAAGCGTCCTTGTGCAGATTTCCACATTCGAGAGGACTATCTTTTTAAAGGTGATCGGTTATGTATTCCTTGCTCGTCTTTAAGAGAGAAATTAATTCGGGATCTTCATGGTGGTGGTCTTAGCGGTCATTTGGGTAGAGATAAGACCATTGCTAGCTTGGAGGAAAGGTATTACTGGCCACATCTAAGAAGAGACGCAGGGACTATTGTCAAAAGGTGTTATATCTGTCAGGTTTCTAAAGGTCAGTCTCAAAATACTGGTCTTTATATGCCTTTACCTATTCCGGATGATATTTGGCAAGATTTGGCTATGGATTTTGTGTTGGGATTGCCCCGTACGCAACGAGGTGTGGATTCTGTGTTCGTGGTAGTTGACAGGTTCTCTAAAATGACTCACTTTATTGCTTGCAAGAAGACTGCTGATGCGTCAAATATAGCCAAACTATTTTTCAGAGAGATCGTGCGTCTTCACGGGGTTCCTAAATCGATTACTTCAGATAGGGATACAAAGTTTCTCAGTCATTTCTGGATTACTCTTTGGAAGATGTTCGGAACAGCTTTAAATAGAAGTTCTACAGCTCATCCACAAACTGATGGACAGACTGAAGTAACCAACAGAACTTTGGGAAATATGATTCGGAGTATTTGTGGAGACAAGCCAAAACAGTGGGATTTAGCTCTACCTCAAGTAGAATTTGCTTACAACAGTGCTGTACATTCTGCGACAGGAAAATCACCTTTTTCTCTAGTGTATACTTCTGTTCCTAAGCATGTGGTTGATTTGATTAAGTTGCCAAAGGCTCCTGGAGTAAGTGCATCAGCTGAAACTATGGCTGAAGAGATTTTAGCTGTTAAGGAAGCTGTCAAGGCTAAGTTAGAGGCTACCGGGATGAAGAACAAGGTCGCTGCTGATAAACGTCGGAGGTTCAAAGTTTTCAAAGAAGGTGATGATGTGATGGTGTTCCTTCGTAAAGAGAGATTTCTAGTTGGTACGTACAACAAGCTGAAGCCTCGCAAGTATGGCCCGTTCAAGGTGTTACGGAAGATCAATGATAATGCTTATGTTGTGGCCCTCCCGGAATCGATGAACATTTCCAATACCTTTAATGTAGCTGACATTCATGAGTATCATGCAGATGAAGTCCTTTATCCAGAAGAGAACTTGAGGACAAGTTCTTCAGAGGTGGAGGAGACTGACGTAGGAGGGACTTAGTTTTAGTAGTTTTACTTTTCCTTTGATATTTCCTTATTTCACGTTTCTATTTTGCTTAGAGTTTTCTATTTTATGTTTTGGTTTCTTCTCTATATAAAGAGAGATCCTAGGTTATTTGCAAGACAGTTTTATCATTCTAATTAATAAAAGCAGAGAGCTTTTCTCTAATCTGGTGGATTTCCAGAGTTTCAATCCACCATTGTAACTCTCTTGTAACTTCCTTTTTACTATGAAACTAAACATAGTAGCAGCAACCTCCACACTAATAATAAAGATTGAAACAGAAGCTATTAATTAAGGTCTCTTCCATGAAGCCACACAGTATTTAAATTCATCATATAAAAGATGGTTTAACACACAACAATTTGTATATACTGGTTTAGACCTTGTTGGTTAGGTCCCTCCCACGTCTTCCCTTACCTTTGCTCTTCCTCTTCCTCTTCCTCTTATTCTCTCTCCCTTCGCGTCCTGCAATTTAGTTGATTTGCACTGAACTTGGGACATATATAAGAGCACACAAGTGGGTTATCGTATGTTTCTTCTCCAAGATTCACTTTTTTCAGATATCCATTCTCTCCAATGATGAAAGAAGTTGTTCTTTCACAAATTCTTTTGCCTTCTACAAAACCCTCTGCATGGATCACCACGGCGAGTTTCTTCTCTTCGTCAATGAAGAAGCCGCTCAATATCAACTTTTAAGAAGGGGGTCCACGACACCGCATTGGCCTCTATCTTAGTAGTAATCCAAATCTCTATCATAGTAGTATCACGTTGTTGATATAACGCCGCAAGTTTCTCTTCTTTAACACAAGATAGAATCCCATTATCTTCTGATGCAAAATCAAGTGTAAATGGTAGATCAAGAAGCTTTCCAAATCTCTCTGCCGTAAAATCAAAACAGATTAAGAAA